GAAAAAAACTACTAAAGAATGTATTTTTTGACCCAATTTAGTGATTTTTTGACTACGTTGAATGAAATCTCATTAAAAATTAAATAATGCTATTTTCTTAACTAATTTGATGATTGTTTGATTTATTTTTGGGAAAGTTTTGCAAAATAATTGAGTTTTCTGGCTAAAAAACATGCAAAATTCTCAAAAATGCGCGAAAAGTTATATTACTAAACGTTTGGTCGAATATTCGATTAAAAGAATTTCTAAATTGATTAATTTTTTGTTGTAATTGCAGTTTGATTTCTGAAAAATCAACAGAAATAATAATTTTTACTTAATTACATACCAGACATGGCAACACTGGACTTGGATTTCAAAGTCACAGGCTACTTGGATTAGAAATTTAATTAATGGTTATGTTTTAGTGGGTGTTTTTGCCGGAGCCCCCCATTAGGCAAAAGCTGGTGTTGCCGCCCCCCGTCAAGGTTGACTACAGGGCGGCTTGTTTCTGCCACCGCGAGTTGATTGATATAGGTTATGTGTGCTCAGTTTGTCTGTCAAGTGAGTTGATTGGTTGAAACTTGGCCTTGAATTGGCTACAGCCAATCACAGGCCGGTTTGAGTCTGAACTAACAATTTTTTTACAGTTTTCTGCAAATTTAGCCCGATTTGTACGACTTGTCAGTAAGTTTTTTCGTAATTGTCATTTTTCGAACTAATTTTTTTTTCTAGTACTGTTTTCAAAATCCCGGGGCCGTTAGCAGTGAAGCCGAAAAAGAGGAAAATCAAGTTGTAGTTTATTTTGTATTTTTTTTTTCAAAGTTAGGTGTTTTATTAATTATTATCCTTGATAGTGATCAGTGCGCATTGTTTTGTTGACTTGATTGGAATGAGGTCGAGCGGGTCTGATATAAATAGCTCCGAGGTCATTTCTTGCTCTTTATTTACAATATATCATCGTAGTCATGTTTTATTTTGATATAAAATATATAAGAGCACTTTAAGTACTACATAATAAAATATATTGTGTTGAAAAAATGTTAATATCACAAAAATAGTTCCGGTCTGACAATCACCAGACGATTGCTAGCAACTGGAAAAATATGTTTTCTACCTAATCAAAACAAAAAGAATTACAAACTAATACTGTAAATATGCAAAAAAACTATCAACAATATGGCAACTGAATTCTTATCACTTATCACTCAACTAAAGTCGTCACGACGGCCATGACACTAATCCCCGCGATGAGGGCGAGAATCTGCTTGAGCGACTCCCGGGGGTCCTCCTCCTTGAGTAAGTCCGGGAGGACCGTCACCAGCGCGATGTGGAGGAACGTCCCGGCCGTGAAGGGCATAATCCACGAGGTGCGGGCCTCTGAAACGCGAAATTAATCCCAGTTTAATCCTCTCACATCGCTTACCGATCGAATTGGAGGCCCCGCTGCACATGATGGCGGCGAACGAGCCGACTAAGCCGCCCCCGGCGGTCAGGATCTGGTAGAAGGCGGCGTCCCATCGCGTGAAGCCCGATTTGAGCAAAATGGCGAAGTCCCCGACTTCGTGCGGGATCTCGTGGACGAGGATGGCGAAAGTGGTCAAGAGACCCAAACGGAGCGACACGAGGAACGCCCCCCCGAGGGACAAGCCGTGAGTGAAGTTGTCGATTGTGTTGGCCAGCAGGTTCAAATACCCGGTTATCTGCAAAGAAACACGAGGAAAAGGGTTTATTCTACTAATAAAACTTGTTTTTTTAATAAATCAGTTTTGGGCTTTTTTACCAATAACTAGAATTAGGTTGGCAACATTAAGTGTCAAACTCAAATGTCACTCTTTTATAGTCAAATGTCATTCATTTCGGACGGGTCCGTTGCTGGTATTGCCGTCACTGACACAGTCTAATATCACCATTAAATCAGTGGTACCAACTTAATTGAAAGCATGACGACACACTTAAACTTCCAACATGTCAAAATTCAGGAGCAATGGTACCAACTTCTAATTTCATAACTTTCTACTGCATTGATGTAATAAAAATATAAAAAAATTAAATAATAAAATACAAAATATGCATTTTCGACCAAATTTTGTGGTTTTTCGGCTTTTATTGTCTTAATTTTTCTTAAAAATCAGTTCAAACGAGTGAAATAAACAAATTAACATCACTATAAATTTGTGATTTTCAGACGTGTTTGAGCTAAAAAATAATATCAATATCGATTTAATTTTGTCGTTTGTCAGCCTGTTTAAACAAATAATTTCGTTTTTTTTGTTTTCATCCGAAAAACGTGCGTAAGCAATGAAAAAAGCAAAAATAATGCAATTTTTGGCCCATTTTGTTGGAAAAATCATCAAGTTTCTGGTTGAAAAACGTGGAAAATGCCCAAAAAAGATGCAAAAAGTATATGATTTACTCCCATATCAATAATTGAAATTATTAATTGATAGTTGGCAACATTAAATATAAAACTCAAAAGTCACTCTTTTATAGTCAAATGTCATTCATTTCGAACGGGTCCGTGGCTGGCATTGCCGTCACTGACACAGTCTAATATCAACATTAAATCAGTGTTACCAACTTAATTGAAAACATGATGACACGCTTTAATGACAAATATGGCCTTTCGTAACTTTCAACATGTCAAAATTCAAGAGCAATGGTACCAACTTATAATTTCAAAACTTTCCACTGCATTGACGTAATAAAAATACAAAAAAATAAATAAGAAAATAAAAAAAACATGCATTTTCGACCAGATATGTGGTTTTTCGGCTTATTTTTGACTTAATTTTTCTTAAAAACCAATTCAAACGATTGAAATAAGCAAAATGACATCACTAAAGATTCTTTTTGTGATTTTCAGGCGTGTTTGGGCAAGTTGAGCTAAAAAAATATTGATTTAATTTTGTAGTTTGTCAGCTTGTTTAAACAAAAAAAAACGTTTTTTTTTTGTTTTTACCCCAAAAACGTGGATAAGCACTTAAACAGGCAAAAATACAAGCATTCTTGACCTATTTTGTTGAATTTTTGGCTTGTTTTTAACAAATTTTCCGAACTAATTGTATTTCTAACTGAAAAATACAGCGATTTTTCGATTTTTTAAGAATATTTTCAAGTTTCTGGTAGTAAAACGTGGAAAATGCCCGAAAAAGATGCAAAAAGTATATCATTTACTCCTATTTTTTATCTAATTTACTATATCAACAATTGGAATTAATATCTGATAGTTGGCAACATTAAATGTCAAACTCAAATGTCACTCTTTTATAGTCAAATGTCATTCATTTCAAAAAGGCATTTATTATTATTATTTCGGACGGGTCCGTCGCTGGCATTGCCGGCACAGTCTAATGTCAACATTAAATCAGTGTTACCAACTTAACTGAAAGCATGATAACACTCTTTAATGTTAAATACAGAGTGGTTATAAATGATTTTCATCTAGCCAGCTTTGGAATTTTTTTGCATGTAACTTTATTTGTGCCGCTCAACTTTTTTGAAAGCTCTAGTTCTGTCATTAGTGTCACTTATTCATTAATAATAAATTGTGGTTAATTAAACTTTTATTGTTTTAACTTATTACCAATAAGAATTGATAATAATGTATACTTTGGAAGAAAACAAGTTTATAATTGAAGTCTATTTTCGAAGTGGACGCTTAGTAAACGGCGATTTTTTAATTTCGAGTTGAAACAAGTAGGTACCCCTATTTTCGTAAAGCGGCATTTTTTATTTTACATGGAAAATTCACAGCTGGCTAGATGAAAATCATTTATAACCACTCTGTATAATAATGACCTTTCGTAACTCCCAACATGTCAAAATTCGGGAGCAACAGTACCAACTTCTAATTTCAAAATTTACTACTCCACTGACGCAATAAAAATACAAAAAAATAAGTAAAACACAAAAACGTGCTTAAAAGCATTTTCGACCGGATTCTGTAGTTTTTCAGCTTCTTTTTGTCTTAATTTTTCTCAAAAACCAGTTCAAACGAGTCAAATAAACAAAATAACATAAATATAAATTCTTTTTGTGATTTTCAGGTGTGTTTGGTCAAGATAAGCTAAAAATAATACCAATTTCGATTTACTTTTGTAGTTTAATTTTCGATTGATTTTTATCCCAAAAACGTGGGTAAGCACTCAAAAAGGCAAACACAACACCGTTTTTGGTCTATTTTGTTAAAATTTTGGCTGGTTTTTAACGAAATTTTGCGAATTAATTGTATTTCTAACTGAAAAATAAAGCAATTTTTCGATTTTTTTTAAGAAAATTATAAAGTTTCTGGTTGAAAAATATAGAAAATGACCGAAAAAGTAGCTACATCATTTATTTTTACCTATTCTACTATATCAATAACTGAAAAATTAATATTTTTATTAAATTTTTGTTGTAACCGCAAAGTTACTACACTTTTTTCCGTTAAATATGACTTTTCATAACCTTCAAAACGTCAAAATTTAGTGACAAGTTCAAAGTTTTTTGTTCGCAATGGTACCAACCTCTAGTTTCTTACTATTGCAATGACGCCATTTTGAAATTTGCTTTGTTACTTACATGCTTCTTAGGTTCGGGGATATGTTTGTATCCTTTGACATTGTTGTTCTCTGGGGGCGCCAGATGGCGCTCGCCCAGTTTTTCTATCACAGTGAAGAGCTTCTCGGTGACTACGAATACTATTAAGCCGGTGAGGATGAGAAGGCCGGTGGTGGTGGTCGGGTGACCTCCTAGAACGATAATGTTTGCAAGGTTGGTAGCGGGGTGAATGACCGAGAAATGTCAAACGGCCTACTAGATAATTCCCTTCAATTGGGTCCTCGCCGTCTTGATTGCAAAATTACGGTGCCGGAACCGGCCAATCGAAAATCGCCACGTGACTTACCGTTTCTGGCCGCGTCGTTCGCCCATATTTCCGGGAGCGAGTGGAGGAAGACGTCGCCGAGGAGGCCTCCGACGGCGAAACTCAGCAAAGTCTTCAGTTTATTCGCACTATCTGGGAAAAAAAAAAACAAATCAAAGACACTTGATTTGACTACAACAAAGTAAATATTTCGAGACTGGTTAATCTAATCTGAGTACGTGCAGAGATTGCGTTAAGAGGCTCTGAAGACATGATGGTTGTGGACTATTACGCAAATCTGACCGGATTTGGACCCCATTGAAATCACTTGGGAGTCATAATACGGCCTTGAAACAATTAATTTGTCTTGTGATATTCGCGGAAGTGAAAATTATCGCCCCGAGGAAATGCAAGTCACTCATTTTGCGCTTCATTGCAGCCCAAAACGTGTCAGAAATGTTGCAATTTTGCGACACAAGAATTGTTTTGTAATTCGAATAATTTAAATTATGAACAATGAATTATCATGGACGTGCCGGCGTTATCTAATCGACGGCTACATGCATGCAATTTTCATAATAGATTTAATGAAAAAGTACTTAATCACGAGAAAAAATATTTTTACAATTTTCAAGGGTGTCAAATCAAGTGGGTAAATGTCAATCATCTACAAATTGCGTCATTCTTATTCTTGCATGATGAGTCTTTGTTTTAAGTTATTATCACGCAAAAATTCTTAAATTTATTCTAATCTGTAATAAATAGAGGAATGAGTCGTTGCCCCCCGAAGTCGGGTTTTCAACCTAAAATCGGGTTGCCAAGCGTGAAACCAGTTGTTTAATTGTGTAAAACGGTTTTCGTAATTCTTTCCTGATGTAATTTGCGATTTTAAATTTAGATAAATTACAGGTTCCTGTAATTTTTTGTACACAAAATCGCAATTTTTAGTATCTACACGCATTAAAATGGGTAGGTAGAGATTTATTACCCATTATACAGGATGCTCCAATGAAAACGAGCCACCCTGAATATCTCACAAACTAAAAAGACTTTGCAAAAACGCTGAAACAGGTCGATTTTGTTTCCAGGGGGGACATTTTTGGACGTAATTTTTAAATCACCCCCAGTAACCCTTTAACCCCCACACACTCCAACTTTAAAAATTTAAATGGCACTACCCTACTTGTGGCACATCAAATGAAAGCTATTCTAGCAAGGTTTTCAAAACTTTTTACCAAAATTGAATCAGACCATCCATTCATGAGATACAGGGGGTTCTAATAAAAACAAACCATCTTAGAAAAAAATTGCAAAAAAACAGGTTAATTTTGTTTTTCAAAGGAACATTTTTTTAGCAATTTTAAAAGCATCTGCACTAAGCCTTTAACCTCTATGCCACTTAACTCTAAAATATCAAGCTTTTTTCTAAAATGAAATTTTTATACATTCATAAAATATCGGCAAAAAAACTAATCTTTCAGCAAACAGTATGTACAAAGGAACTTAAGAACTATATTGCTATTTTTTTAGATACTTAAATTAAATTATAAGAAACTTTATTACTCCCTGACCTGTAGTCCGATTATTTTGACAATAAAATAAAGAAATAAAAATAAGTTTATTACAGCTTCAATAATACTTATAACAATATTAGTATGTTTCTTGTAATTTATTTGAATACTTTTTAGTAGAAGTAATTACTAATTAGAAACATTATCTTTTTCGATTATCTTATGAATATAACTTTAGAAAAAAATTGTCAAAAAATGTCTTTTAAAAACAAAATTAACCTGTTTCGGTTTTTTTTTGCAAATTCTTTCTGGTTCGTTTTTATTAGAACATCCTGTACCTCATGAATGGATGGTCTGATTCAATTTTGGTAAAAAGTTTTGAAAAGCTTGTTAAAGTAGCTTTCATTTAATGTGCTACAAGTAGGGTAGTGCTATTTAAATTTTTAAAGTTGGGGTGCGTGGGGGTTAAAGGGTTACCGGCGGTAATTTAAAAATTATGACAGAAAATGTCCCCTTCGGAAACAAAATCGACCTGTTTCGGCGTTTTTGCAAAGTCTTTTTAGTGGGTGGCTCGTTTTCATTGGAACACTCTGTATAGTTATTATCACGTCAATATTGCTAAAAAGCAATAAAAATGAGACATAAACGCTGAAATGATAAAGCGAATGATGCGGAATGAGTTGCATTATCTCCATTATTTCCTGTTTTTGTGATTAAAAATAAATCGAAATAATTTCGAACAATTTGTCAAAACTCGAGATGTCAATGGACGTAAATGTCATTTATCAAATTAACACAAAAACATGCTAAATTTTTGTACCATAAATAAGCTTGAGAAAGCCACTTTTTGATGGCCGGTTGCGGAAACATCGAACACCAGTTCAAAGCTGTGACAAATGGGGGCCAAAAAATCACCCTGGAACAGATCAACAAGTGGCTCACTGATGCGAAACTGCTCAATAAAAAAATCACTCCGGAAGACACCAAATCGTGTTTCGAAAAATTCAAATCCGAGACTATCGATTTAACAACGTTTGTGAAATTTTTAAATGATTTGTCGGAACAGAAAAGGCTTCCTGTTGGAGAATTAGAAGGGAAACTTGCTTCGAGTCGATTAACTAACGATGGAAGTGTCACGAAGGTTGGAGATAAAATAACGGATGCAATGAAAAGTGTGGTGGATGATGCTTCCAGAACTAACAAGAAGGCTTGCAAACAAGCGAAATAATTAATTCAAAATAAAAAAAAATACGATAAAACAACATCTTGAGTAGGTACTAAAAAAAAACAAATAAAAATAAAATTATACCGTGTGACTCGGGTATTTTTATTCGCCCTTTTTACTCTCCCAAAAAATGAAAAAACAATTATTTGGGAAGATAACAAAAAATAATAATAAATAAAAATTATCACAATAAAACCCACACAAGATTTTGAATTTATTTAATAGGAGTATACAGGGTGTTTTCTTAATATTGGAACCATATGTTTTATATCAAAAAATAAAAACACTCTGTATATTAAGAAAATTTTTGAATCAATTCCCGAAAAAAGACAAAATTCTACTATACCGAGTGTTTCAAGAAAAGCTTCACTACACGCAAAATAACGTATTATAAAATGACAAGGTGCCATATTTCGGCCATTTTGATTTAAAACAAAGCGAGAAATTCAATTTTGACAATACTTTTATCAATTCTATAGTCAAAATGGCGGTATTAAGGAACTTACATGAAAACCTAACATGAAGTTAGGTTTTTTGATGACTAACATCATAATATTCATAATTCGTGAATTTTAGTATACTTGTCAAAAAAATTGTTTTTTCATTTTTTTATAAAAAAGAAAACAGGTTTTGTACTTTTTAATTAAAAAATGTATGAAAAACAGTAACAAAAGACGTGTGAATTGTCAATTTTAGTACTTGTCTCTAGGTTATTCAATGTTGCCAACGTAATTTCAAAATCATAGACTAGTTTAAAAAAATTCTTTCTACTTTTTTATATACAAAAAATTGGTTATACAGAGTGTTTCAACTTCACATAGTATCACCAATTCGCCATATTTGAATCACATTTTGGAGTCAAAATGGCAGTATCACCAATTCGCCATATTTGAATAACATTTTGGAGTGGAATTGCGGTTTTTTTGCCACAATAGAATACTGCTTTTTTAAAATTTAACTTATAATATCACAAAAAATTCAAATTTAGCCTTTAGTACTTGTCTCTACGATATTCAATGTTGCCAACGTAATTTCAAAGTCATAAACTGCTTTAACGGAAAATTTATTACCGCGTTTTATTGTTTATTACAAAACTTCTCTTATAGACAAAAAATCGGTTATACAGAGTGTTTCAATAAAAACTTCACACAGTTGATGTATAAATTAAAAAATAAGTATCACTAATCCGCCATATTGATTCCAAAACAAAGAGAGTAATCGAATTTTGGAGTCAAAATAAAGGAAATGTGGAATTTTTATTCATAAAATATTAAGTTAGGTTTTTTATTGCCAACATCAGAATCCGACGCTTCTAAAAAATTACTTTTTATTTTTTATAAAAAAGAAAACATTTTTGTTTTTTAATTAAAAAATGTAAGAAAAATAGTAACAGATGTGTGAGTTGTAGAAGTCTAAATGAATCTTTAATTTAATGGCCGATTTACACAAAAAGTGTCATTAATGTCATTCAGAACAAATTCAATTACATCAGTATTGACAAAAACCTTCATATTTGCTATCCTTTGATAATTTCGTTGTTAATTTTAATTAAAAATCTTCATATTTGCTATCCTTTGATAATTTCGTTGTTAATTTTAATTATTTCTTGCTAGATGGAGTATACTTTTATTTGAAAAACATTATTTTTAGGGAAGATTGAGGTTAGGATTGTTTGAATGGTTGCCACCTTAAAATTATCCCTTTCAACGACTACTTCGATGCACATTAATAATATGAAAACGAGTATAATTTAAGTACTTGTCACTATTCAATGTTAATTTCAAAGTCATAGACTAATTAAAAATTTCTACTTTTTTATAGGCAAAAAATCGGTTACACAGAGGGTTTAAAGTTTACATGGTATCACCAATTCGCCATATTGGAGCCAAAATGGCGAACTTGTGGTATTTTTGCCACTGTAGAATAGTAGAAGACTGTTTTTTTAAATCCATCATCTCTTTTAGCGAGAAGAAATAAAATAACACAGTTTTTAACTTATAATATCACAAAAAATTCAAATTTAGCCTTTAGTACTTGTCTCTACAATATTCAATGTTGCCAACGTACTTTCAAAGTCATAGACTGCTTTAACCAAAAATTTATTAAACGCGTTTTATTGTTTATTACAAAACTTCATTCTGATTCTCTTATAGACAAAAAATCAGTTATTCAGAGTGTTTCAATAAAAATTTCACATAGTTGATATACAAATTTCAAAATGAAAAAGTATCACTAATCCGCCATATTGATTCCAAAACAAAACGAGGAATAAAATTTTGGAGTCAAAATACAGGAAATGTGGAATTTTTATTTATATTAAGTTAGGTTTTTGTTTGCTAACATCGGAATCCGACGCTTGTAAAAAATTACTTTTTATTTTTTATAAAAAAGAAAACATTTTTGTTTTTTAATTAAAAAATGTAAGAAAAATAGTAACAACAGATATGTGAGTTGTAGAAGTCAAATGAATCTTTAATTTAAAGGCCGATTTACACAAAAAGTGTCATTAATGTCATTCAGAACAAATTTAATGACAAAAATCTTCATATTTGCTATCCTTTGTTAATTTCGTTATTAATTTTAATTATTTTTTGCTAGATGGAGTATACTTTTTTTTGAAAAACATTATTTTTTTGAGGTTAGGATTGTTTGAATGGTTACCACCTTAAAATGATCCCTTTCAACGTGAACAATGCACATTAATATGAAAACGAGTGTAATTTAAGTACTTGTCACTATTCAATGTTGCCAACTTAATTTCAAAGTCATGACTAATTTAAAAAAAAATTCTTTCTACTTTTGTATAGGCAAAAAATCGGTTATACAGAGTGTTTAAAGTTCACATAGTATCACCAATTCGCCATATTGGAGTCAAAATGGCGAACTTGGGGTATTTTTGCCATTGTAGAATACTGTGTTTTAAAATTCAACATCTCTTTTAGTGAGAAGAAATAAAATATGAGTTTTTAATTTACAATATCACAAAAAATTCAAATTTAGCCTTGGACCTTCAAGTCGAGTCACCCTGTACCACCGACCCGGCATTCAGGCAGGCCACTCGTGTCATTTATTCATTCATTGTCAACCATTATGTAACCTTAACTTGTAATAAATAAATCGAAGGTCCCCTTCCTCCCATTAGTCTTATTTACCCACCACTGATAAGCCCCATAAATCCCTCAAAACCTTTGTTTTTATTATGCACGCCTCAAGATCTGATGATAACCCCAAGGTCCCCGCGCAAAACCAACCAACCTCCATGTTTGAGGTTGTCCGTCTGGTCGATGGGTATGACCAGAAGGGGCAGCACCCCGCTGAGCCCCACGAGGACCGAGCCGATCATGGCCCACAGCCAGGGCATGTAGTCCATGGAGAAGAGCCATCCGGGGGCGACGCCGTCGAAAAGGGCGCCGTGGAGGCCGGTCACCAGCTCCAGAAGGTTCATGGTCGTTGCCATTGTCGATGATGGCACACACGAGCACTGATTTCGCACTTTTGTCGACTAACCTACTCTGAGATTGAGCCGAACAAAGCAATTTCAACTGATAAAAGGTTAGTGGACCGATCGCAGCATTGTTTTCACTTTTACTACATGACGAGGAACGACGACGGCGAGTATTTACTGCTGGGTGACGCATGGATTCCCCTCCTCCATTTCGGAGACGGACATTTGGGACAAGATGGACGCCGGGATTTCCTCCACGGTCCAACTATTGACATTTTGACAAAAAAAGGCATTATTACCATTATTTTGGCTGGAAATTGTGATTATGTAACTAATGGAGGGCTCTGATATGGTAATCATGATAATGGAACAAAGATAAAGTGCGATTATCAATGATGGGGGCGATAGGGAGATTGACAGTTTGTTAAGCAAATAAATGAAAATTGATTGTCAACGCCAACGCTGGCCCTTACTATGTTGAAGTTTGTTTAACAAATCTTTTATCCATCGCCGTCTCCATAGAAATAATCCTTTTCTCGCCTGGGCATTTTTTGAGTTCAAGTGATTCCCGTTGGCGCTTTAATCTGGGGAAAATTTTTTGACAAATCCAGTTTTTTAGCTTAAAGGGTTCAATCTCATTATATCAATTCTCCCTGGCGTATCTAGTTTTGTTGTATCCTTCCTTCCCAGCATTTATTAATTGCGTTATTTTTCGATAATAATTAGAAATTATTCAGTTTTTCCTTAGTAACCCACGTAACTAAGAAAAAATCGGAATCACTGCTCCAATGCATTTTTTACGAAATGCCCAGGCGGGATATTGATACATTTGATTAAGGAGGCGGTGCTTTTATCAATTATCAAAAACAAATTATTTTTTTATACAAGGTGATTCTTTTAGAGCCTACATTAGAAACTTTTTAACTTCTAATGCAGATAATAATTTGAAACTATGTACACAACCCAAGTCGACTGGTCTAAGTTCAATTAAATTATTTTAAAAATGGCTGAACTTCCGGAACTAAGAGAAATTGGCGCCAACTTTGAAATTTTAAATGGTACCCACTTAATTTTATTGCATTGTTGAATTCTCCTCTTTAAACTAAGTAAAATGTACCTAGTTGTTAGTACCTATCTGTCATAGTTTTTGACATATGTCAATTTTTTGGTCAAAATTTTCACTTGCAGGGGTTCATTCAAAACATCACAGCTCTTGAACCCTTTGCGATAAGTGAATATTTTTTTTTTGCATTCGATAACCAAAGGTTCGAAAAGTTTTCTAGAATTTTCAAAATTGTCAACTGTCAAATTGCAAGGCTAGTATGATTTTTTGAAAATGATCATTACCAAACAGCTATAACTCAGTTTTTTCAAATGAAATGACTCTATTTTCTCAACGGCAATCAAAAGTACATTAATTTGTAGAAGGACTTTTATCAACATGTCCTATACCTATCTCTTACAGTTTTTGAAATAATCACGAAAAACATGTTATAAGTTTTATTTTTATAGTTAATCACATTGGCTTTGAAAAAATACAATAAAGATATACCATAATTAATACAGATGTTCGATATGTTTACCATTTTCAAACAGTCCAAAATTCGATGGTGAACTGATTTGAGTGGCTTCCATTATTTCATTTGGTTGAAGATTATTAAATGCCGCCTCAATCCTTGCCTCAATTCTTCGTAATTCCGAATGAGTGTTGTGTAGACTAAATCTTTAATACGTATTGATCATTTTCCAAAGCCTATGTGATTGACTATAAAAATAAAAAACAAAAACATGTTTTTCGTGATTATTTTAGAAACTGTAAGAGATGGGTATAGGACATGTTGATAAAAGTCCTTCTAGAAATCGATGTACTTTCGCTTGCCGTTGAGAAAATGGGGTCATTTTATTTGAAAAAACTGAGTTATAGCTGTTTGTTAAATATCATTTTCAAAAAATCATATAAGCTTTGCAATTTGACAGTTGACAATTTTGAAAATTTTAGGAAACTCTTCGGACGTTTGGTTATCGAATGCAAAAAAATTATTGACTTATCGCAAACGGTTCAAGAGCTGTGATGTTTTTAATAAACCTCTGCAAATGAAAATTTTGAGCAAAAAATTGACATATGTCAAAAACTATGACAGATAAGTACTAACAACTAGGTACATTTTACTCAGTTTGGAGAGGAGAATTCAAAAATGCAATAAAAATAATTGGTTACCATTTAAAATTTCAAAGTTGGCGCCAATTTCTCGTAGTTCTGGAAGTTCAGCCATTTTGAAAATAATTTAGTTGAACTCAGACGGGTTGATTTGGGTTGTGTACAAAATTTCAAATTTCTATCTGCATTAGAAGTTAAAAAGTTTCTAATATAGGCTCTAAAAGAATCACCTTGTATGTATCTTATGAACAAAAATGGCCACCCAAAGCCTAGTTTAATATTTTTTTAAAAATGTCAAATTGACATTTGTCAAAATTCAAAAATTGAGTTTTGTCCAATGTTTTAAATTTAAAATCGGATTTGTTAAACGTAAAACCACTTATCCAATTGTGTAAGATGTTTTTTGTAAATCATAAATCTTTCAATGTGAACTTAAATTTAGACAAATTACAGGTACCTGTAATTTTTTCTCAAAAGTAATTTTCTTTAATATGCAAGATTTCAACTTAAACAGTTTTATTTTATCAATTTTTATCAATAATAAAAAATTATCAAATATTTGTATTTATTAAGAGATTGTATACTTGAGTGCTCAAAACCACAAATTGATTTTTTTTATAATGTAATTTGGCCTCATGGGCGCTCACAGGGGGGGCCGTTGCCCTCCCTGGGACAATAGTGGTTGCTATTTTATATAAAAAAAGATTTTTTTGATGTTTCACAAACTCGTTCTAACTTAAATTTTCATGAACGAAATAAGGAACTACTATTTACATTTTAATCACGAATTGAGTGATATAAAAACAGACGAATAAAATTGTTATTATTAATTTCGACTCTTTTTTCACACTAAATAAATCTCTGAAAAATTTGCCAATTTTGTTTTTGACAATTTGCGATTTTTTTTGCACTCCAGTGTATTTTATTTCTTGACAAATCATGGTCACCTAAATAAGCCTACTTCTGTCTAAATAAACAATTTTTGGAAATATCTAATTGACACTTGACAAATTTTGGTATGTTTTCCAGGTTTTTTAATTTTTTTGAAGTTGACAGGTTTATAAAAATTGACAGTTAAATTCAAAACCAGATTTACACTAAATAAAAATTTATTTCTTTTGGTGACTGTCAACGTGACAATCTTCAAAAGAATTTTGTTTTTATGTTGATATTTATTGTTATTTTTAATGTAATTTTTTTGTATACATTTATTTATTTGAAACCATAAAATACTAAAATTTGTTAGTGATGACACTTTATATTATAACATGTTGATAATGACACTAATGACAGAGTGATTATGCTTAGTTACCAACTTGTCATTATCAATATTGTTAATATTACTTTCCAACTAAAATGTAAAATGATCTTAGTTTGTTTTTGTGTTGAATAATAATAAAAATCAAGCAATGTCAACGTGCCAACTTCCAAAAAATTTTGTTTGCTGTTATATGTTTTGATGTTGATGTAGTATATTTTTATTATTTTTTGCATTTATTTATTTGTTAAAACCTGTAAAATTCTAAAATTTCTTTGTAATGATACTTTTTATTATAATATGTTGATAATGACAGTTGACGGTGATTTTACTAAGTTATCAACTTGTCATTATCAATATTGTAATATTCGGCAATTAAAATGTAATGTGATGACAGTTTGTTTTGGTGTTGATTAATAATAAAAATCAAGCAACATGATAATGACAACTTTTTAACTTTATTTTTATAAATTGTCAAAATACAATCAATATATTTTCCCTTTAATTCAGTTGCGCCACTGCTCCCATTTCCTGAAACAAAAGCTAGGGTCGCTTCCTTTAACCCTAAGACCCGAAAATCATGCAATCTTGATTTCTTCACAACCATTCAAATCAGGAAGACAAAAGAAAACTGAGAATTGCAAAACACAGCCTACTTTATTTTGAGCACTATCACTGGATAACCGTGGTGGAAAATATCGGATTTAATTTGAACCAAATACTCATATGCGCATGCGTAAATTAACTGCGCACTACTGTATTTTGCTGTAATGACGTTTTATTTGAAAAAATTATTTCAATTTATTATTTAGCAATGTATTAAAAAGAAAATAAAAACAAATGATTGAAATCAGTGTTTTATTGTCAAAATTCCCTAAAGTTTACACAGAATACTGTTTTAGAAAACCGTTATCTTGTTTGTTTACATTTGAAACGTAGAAAACCTTCTCCATAATAGAAAACGTAGAATTCTAATTCGGGGAAAAAATCACATGATAAAAACAACTTATTTAGAGATAATGAATTCGTTGAAGTGACTCAATGAATGTTAGAGTTGTAAAATATGCAAACAATGTGTCTTGGCTCATTATCAAATGTTAATGCTAGGCAACCAACTATACAACCTTGTATAGTTGCCAACAATTGCCAACATTGCAAATTTTTATAATTAAAAAAAATTCAAACTACTTTAATTAATCCAAAAATTGAGACACAATTACTACAAATTTACTTAAATAGTTCTAATATTTTGTCTAAGAGTTCAAATTGTGTGAGATGAACTGTTCTATTTTCAACCTCATTATACAGTTGATTGCGCTTTATCCCGATTAATAATAGAAGGGCGAATTTTTTCCCACCAGTGATTAATAGATCCCTCCTCTTTTAACCCACAACAGTGCCAAAAAAATCAAACATCAAATAAATTCTCCCAAGTTTTCAAACACCTAGCAAACAAGGGCTTGGGCCTCATCAAAATGTCCTTTAAGTCATCACAAAAATAGCCCAAAAAAACGTTAATCAAATTAATTTCAGTGTTTGGCAAGTGAAAGCCAAGTGTGGTGTGCTTTGTCTCGAATTCTTCGTCTGTGTTAATTGCCAATTCGCACAATAAACTCAAACCATTAAATCAAAAATAGAAGAAGACTTCAAATTGATTCCTCCAAAAATACCCTCGCCCAATTAGTCTCGCGCCGTTAATTAGGCGACTTAGCCAATTACTCACAGTGCTTCGAGATGGACGCCTGGGGCACCCTCGACATCACCTCGGCCATCACCCGCGACGACCTCAGCAGCTCCTTCCGGCGCTCCAAGAAAATCGTAAGTAAAATTCGCGCCAAAAAACAATTTGAAAAAGACGCCGAGTTATTTTAAGAATGCTTAGCCTCCGCGGAACGTTACGTAAATAGCTTGAGTGAAATCGGTGTAAAAAATGGATGTCAGTCCTGATGTTTGGGGGCAATTGGCCTTAGAAGCCTCCCAGGTGTACTTAACCGACGGGACGGCGGCTAAGAGCCCCTTCGCGGGCACGGTAACCCCCCAGTGGCCCCAATCACGACTAATTCTCTGTTTCAGACCATCGAGAAGCTCCCCGACAAGGTGCTGTTGCACATTTTCAGTTATTTGAGCCATAAGGAGATATGTCGTATGGCCAAAGTGTGCAAGAAGTGGCGGATGATTGCCTATGACACCCGACTGTGGAAAAACGTGTCTTTGAGACCGGAGATTTCGGGGCTCCATGTGGGGTCTTTGGAGTCGCTGTTGGCCTTGATTAGTATCCGATTTGGGCCCTCTTTGCGCTACATTGAGCTCCCCATCGAGCTCATAACGCATACAGTGTTGCACGAGTTGGCCAATAAGTGCCCCAATTTGACACACATGCTGTTGGATTTCTCCACAGCGATGCAACTTCATGATTTCAGCGAGTTGCAAGCGTTTCCCACCAAGTTGAGGTATCTTTGTATTTGTTTGAGCGAGGTTATCTTCATGGAGGGGTTTATGCGGAAAATCTACAATTTTATCAATGGGCTTGAGATTCTTCATTTGATTGGAACGTATGAAAAAGTCGAAGAGGAGGAAGAGGAAATTTATGAAGTTATTAATGTTCATAAGCTCAAGTCGGCAACACCCAATTTGAGAGTTATTAATTTGTATGGGATTAATTTCGTTGATGATAGTCATATTGATGCCTTCAGTTCGAATTGCATTCAGGTGAATTTTTAGTTTTTGAAGTGATTTGGAATTTTGATTTGATTTTTTGGTTTGATTTCTACTGATTTTTTTGATTTCCTCATGATTTCTCGTGATTCTCCCTAATTTCCTCTGACTCTCTCTAATTTGCTCCTGATTTGTCCAGATTTTCATCAAAATTTCCCGTAATTTTTCAAAAAATGAATAAAAAAACTACTTCTGCATGCGCTTTTTTCAATGATTTTCCATGATTACTTTTGATTTTGTCAAAAATTCTTCTGATTTCCGCATGATTTTGCCTAATTTCTCGTGATTTCCCGAATTTTTCAAGATTTCCCAAGAAATGTTCAAACAACAAAACAACAACAACAAACTTCCGTTTACGCATTTTTCAATAACTTTCTTTGACTTTGTCTAATTTCCTCATGATTTCACTCGAATTTCTTCAACATTTCATGAATTTTTCAAAAAATTCATAAAAAAAAACAATCCCGCATGAGCATTTTTCAATGATTTTGCTCTGATTTCATTATAGTTTTATCTAATTTAATGAACAAAAAAACTACTTCCGCGCTTTTTGAAATTTTACCCTGTTTTTTTTTCTGATTTCTCCTAATTTTCTTCAACTTTCCTCTAATTTTCCAAAAAATAAACTGCTTGCGCATTTTTCAATGATTTTCCCTGATTTCCTAATTTCTTCAAAATTTCCTTTAATTTTCCAAGAAATGAACAAAGAACTTCCGCATTCGATTTTTTTCTTCATGATTTCTTCTGATTTTTTTCGATTTCTTATAATTTTCTGATTTCTCCAAAATTTCCCTTAATTTTTCAAGAAAAGAACAAAAAAAACTATATTTTCGCAAGCGCATTTTTAATTATTTTTCCTAATTGCCGCATGAATTCCTTTGATTTTGTTATGATTTCTTCTGATTTTCTCATGATTACCTATTTTTTCAACATTTCTCCTGATTTTCCAAAAAATGAATAAAAAACTACATTTGCAATAGCATTTATTCAATATTTTTTTCTGATTTCGTCATGATTTCTTTTGATTTTTCCTGATTTCTTTTGATTTCCTCATGATTTCATGATTTTCCAAGTTTTCCCCTAATTTTCCAAGAAACGAACAAAAAAAGATTACTTTCACAAGCGCATTTCTCAATAATTTTCCTTGATTTCCCCCTAATTTTCCTAAAAAGGAACAAAAAAAACTGTTTTTTGCAAGCGCATTTTTCCATGATTTTCTCTAATTTCCTCATGAATTCCTTAGGTTTTGTCATGATTGCTCTGATTTCCTCATATTTAGCCATTTTTTCAAAACTTCCCCTGATTTTTCAAGAAATAAACAAAAAAAACTACTTTTGCAACAGCATTTTTTAATAATTTTCTCAGATTTCGTCATGACTTCTTTTGATTTCTCCTGATTTCGTTTGATTTCCTCATGATTTCATAATTTCCCCTAATTTTCCAAGAAACGAACAAAAAAAATATTTTCACAACCGCATATTTCTCTGATTTCCCCCTAATTTTCCAAAAAATAAACAAAAAAACTATTTTCACAAGTGCATTTTTCAATGATTTTCCCTAATTTCCTCATGAATTCCTGAGATTTTGTCAAGATTTCCTCTAATTCTCCAAAAAACGAAAAAAAAAAACACTTTCGCAAGCACATTTCCTTTAATTCCTCTAGATTTTTTCTGATTTCCAGATTTCTTTAAGATTCCCCCTAATTTACCAAAAAAGGAACAAAAAAAAACTACTTTTGCAAGTGCATTTTTTAATGATTTTTCCTGATTTCCACATGAATTCCTGTGATTTTTTCATGAATTTCTCTGATTTCCTCATGATTTTTTCTAATTTCTTTTGATTCCTTCTAATTTCCTAATTTCTCCAAGATTTCCCCTATTTTTTCAAGAAACAAAAGAAAACTACTTTTGCAAGCACATTTCTCAATGGTTTTCCCTAATTTTCTCATGAATTTCTCTTGTTTCCTCCTGATTTCCTCTAATTTCTAGGTTTGATTTCCTGATTTCTTTTAGATTCCCCCTAATTTTTTAGCGCATTTTTCAATAATTTTCCTTCATTTCTTCTTAAATGCCTCTTCTATTTTTTTTCTGATTTCTTCTTATAATTCCCTGATTTTTTTTAAGATTTCCTAATTTTCTAAGAAATAAACAAAAAAAACTGCGTCCACATCTCGCATTTTAATAATTTTCCCTGATTTCCTTATAATTTCCCCTGGTTTTCTTATGATTTCCCTAATTTTGTACCTACACCGATTTCCTTTGCAGTTTACCCCTCAGAGCGCAAATTTCCTTATAATTTCTCTTAATTTCCTCATAATTTGCCCTGACTTCCTCAAGATTTCCACTAATTTGTCAATTTCCCTAATTTTCCCAATTTTGTACGCCGATTTTCTCTGTGAGAAAATCGTCTGAGACTTTAAAACTAAGTTGGCAACAGTGAATAATACAGACGGAAGTGACCCTAAATGTGGTTTTTATGGTCAAGTAAGCCGTGCAACATTACCTGTCACATTCAAATGTCAGATGATTCACTATCGCCAACCTAATTCCAAAGTCAGCCCACTTTGATCGGAAATTACTTAGTTGTAGAAAAAATATTGTGTAAATTGTAGCTCGAATGCTTGGCTGTAAACTACTGTGCCAAAGTGACGGGTTCCACCCTCAAGACACTCTTCCAAAGGAGTCGCCGCCTCAAATGTCTCTTGATGAACGGCACAAGTATCTCAGTCTTACTTTTTCAGTTTTTCTGAAACTTACTTTCGAAATTTCAGACCTGCAAAGTGACTATTTGATGCAAGTCGAGTGGGAGAAGTGCTCCCTCCAAGAGCTCGACATCACAGCCACTGACTTATCGACTGAGGCGCTCCAAGACATGCTGACGCGCCTCCCGGGACTCAGATTCCTGAGCGCGGGCCAAATCAACGGCTTCAACGACTCAGTTTTGAAAGCCTGGATGGAGGCCGGAAATCCGCGAAATTTGGTCGCCTTGGACCTCGACAGTTCGGATAACTTGAGCGAGGACGCAATCTACAAGTTTCTGTCGAAGTATGGGCCCCAATTATGGGGGCTGAGCTTGTCCGGGATGACCCACATTACGGATTCCTTGTGGCAAACGGTTTTGCCCATTTTGACAAACGCGAAGTGAGTTTTGGTAGCTCAGAGGGGCGGAAAATTGAGGTTTTGTCGCAGGATTCTGATCATGGGGACGCAGGAACGTCTCGGTGTTAATATCCTCGTGGATCAGTTGATGGATACCATTGCGAGGAATTGTGTCAATGTGGAAAGGCTGGAACTGAGATGGGATCCTGATAATTTGAGGTTTTCAGATAAGAGTCAAAAGGCGATTGATACGTTGAGGGTCAAGTGTTTGAAGCTGAGATGTCTAAGTTTGAGGTATTAAAAAAATAAACAAAAAACATTAAAAATATGAAAAAATAAATAAGTTTTTCTATTTTGCGTCTGAAAGAAGCTATTTCGATACCAAAACCGATGCTTTAATGAGCTATTTCAACACCAATTTGGTGCTGAAATAGACTAGAACAATTTACTTCCTAGAGGTTGGTAATAGTGATTTTCAGCGGCGTTTTGAGCGATTTCTTTTATTTCAGGTGGTGTGCATTAAATGTTTATAGTATTCATTGTTAATTCAGCAAAATGTTGAAAAATATTCGGGACTTTTCAAATTTTGTGACATTTATTACCACCTTATTAAGACAAAAGTTCCTAAATTTTGAAAAATTGACTTTTATATTAAAAAAGTACGTAAAACGCGCAAAATAGAAAAAAATACCAAAAAAACGTGTTTCATAAATCACTTGTGGGAACTCGTTTTTTATAAAACTCGCACTTTGCTGCTCGTTTCATAAAACTTGCCTTGCGAAACGCGTTCTTTAATATACTATTTTTTGATATTTTTCTAGTGATGGGTGCTATTACGAAATTGTCAAATATTTTGCGTCTGAAAGAAAGCTTATTTCGATACCAAAACTGATGCTTTAATGAGCTATTTCAACACCTATTTGGGTGCTGAAATGGACTAGAACAATTTACTTTCTAGAGGTTGGTAATAATGATTTTCAGCGGCGTTTTGAGCGATTTTTTTATTTCAGGTGGTGTGCATGAAATATTTACAGTATTCATTGTTAATTCAACAAAATGTTAAAAAATATTTGGGACTTTTCAAACTTTGTGACATTTATTACCAACCATCACCTTATTAAGGCAAAAGTTCCTAAATTTTGAAAAATTGACTTTTATATTAAAAAAGTACGTAAAACGCGCAAAATAGAAAAAAATAGCATAAAAAAATTGTTTCATAAGTCATTTGTGGGAACTCGTTTTTTATAAAACTCGCGCTTCGCTGCTATTCTTTAATACAGGGTGTTCGTTTTTCGAGCTCCGTCATGGGGATCTCAGTTATTGTAGGAGATACGAGGTATGTTAAATTAGGGCAAAGTTGCGCATTATTATGCTGAACAATTATCTGAAAGAAATTTTAATAAGTCATTTTTAGTTTTTGAATTATTGAAAAAAAGAAACGGAATTTGAAATTTTCGTTTCTATTTTTTGAAGCGAAAACTAAAAGATCTAGAAGTTTTTAACTAGAAGGTTTTTAATGCACTTTCTTACAAGAAATCTAAATCTGTCATTGTATTTTTCAAGGCGCTCTTGATATCAGAGTTACAACACTCAACTTTTTTTCCGTTCTTTTTTCCGTTTTCTCCCAATAATTCAAAAACTAAAGATGACACATTAAATTTTCTTTCAGATTATTATTCAGGATACAAATGCGCAACTTTGCCCTAATTTAACCGACCTCTCTCTTATAATAACTGAAATCCTCATGGTGGAGCTCGAAAAACGAACACCTGTATACTATTTTTTAATTTTTTTTCTAGTGATGGGCGCTATTACGAAATTGTCAAAGCCAATTTCGAGCGAGCGGATCGAATGACTGTCGTCAGGACGTTGACGAATTGTCGAGTCTCCAACTATTACCTCCTTTCAAACTACAAGGATTTGGTCTTCAACTAAGACAAGAAGTGTTGTTTTCAGGGTTTATAATTTCATAAATATTGTAACAACCACCGAAAATGAAAAAGGAGAGTTGTGAAGATTAATTCTGTACAATCTATGATTGAATTAAAAAATTTGAACATTACCATTGCCAAAGATTTTTAAAAAAACTTGAAAAATCGTTTTGTTGTTTCTTAAATACGCAAAGAATTCTTAGTTTGGCTTTAAGCGACCGAAAAACATGTTTCGTCAATTGGTGACACCCAAAATAGTTAAAAAAAGGCATTTTAAAAACTTGATAATTTCAATTTTACAAAAAAATTCTAATCTTGCTTATGTTTGCTCTTATTGTTCTTTTATTCTTATTATGCTTATTAGAATTACAGAACTGTTAACTGCAAACTGAGCTACCACGTCCCCGGCCAGTATCTCTGCTCTAAGCCAATATATTCATCCATGCACAAAATATTTCAAAAATAATTTTTTTTTGCATTTCTACAACGTCTTTGCACTTTTTTCGGTCCCTTAGACCATTGAAAGTGCATTTTTGATGAGATTTGGAAATGCCAAATAAAAAATCCACAAACTTGAAATAGCTTTTATTCGATAATAAATTACATAACAGTATTTAAGGAGTGTCTCAGTTGAGTTACAGGGTTATAAAATTTCAAAATTTATGATTGAATAATTTTAATATCAATTGAAAAAAAATTGTTTTCTTAAATTCGCCAACAATTCTTTGTTTTTACCATAAAAAACATGTTTCGTCCTTTGGTGATACCCAAAATACGAGTAGTTATAAAAGTTGCATCTTTGAAAACTCAATAAATTCAATTTTCCAAAAAACATCTTATCTCTCTTATGTTTTGCTCTTAAATGCACCATAATTCTTATTCTTATAATGTCTATTAATTACAGAAAAATTTCTAAGTTTACTGGGTTTTGAACTGCCCCACCACGCCCCCGGACAGTGTCTCTGTGAGTCTGTTCTATACAATACCTTCATACTAACACAAAATTTTTAAAAAATTCAGTTTTATGCACTTTTTGAAATTTTTGGCCCACTGAAAGTGCAATTTTTGATGAGATTTCGAAATGTAAACTAAAATTTCATAATATAATTTATTTCTCAACACACTCAAGTTTATAGAGGGCAATAGAAATAGACAAGTTAACTAACATACATAAAAAGTAATAGATAAAGTAAAAAGAAAAAATTGTTATATATATAAACGCAACTGCAAATACAAGAAAGGAAGAAAGGAGAAGAGATATAAAGAATATAAAGTATGGAACCAATCGTTTTTTTTAACATTTGCCTCCAAAAAATAATAATTAATATAAATTTTGATCGTATTTTGAACGAAGTACTGTTTTCTTTTTGCGACATGCGATTCTTTATGTCAAAATTGCATATACGTAAAATTAAAAAAAATAATAAATATAAAGCAGACAGTTGTAATTATTAGATCATAACCTTTATGAGAAAAATGTTTTTTATAGTGGGTTGCCATTTAAAAAAATAAAAAAAATTGTAAACTCAAAAACAAAAGACAATTTCGAAAAATTTTATTCTTGATAAAACATCACATTTTTATAATACTTTATCACTCATCAATTAGTTTCTCCAAAAAATAAGCAGTTTAAGCAAAAAACGTTTGGTTCCATACTTTTTATTCACCTGGTATAAAGAGAAAAAATATATAAGAAGTTTGACCTTTAATGATTTAGCTTTTATTAATACTGTTATATAATTTAAAACACTTAAAAAGAGGTGAATTAAGGTGATAGACAACACAAAAAACATTCCTTCCACATAAGAATTTTTATTCACATTAGAGAGAAGATAAAATAATGAGGACCCTAATAACACAACATAATTTATGATTGAATATGTAAAAGTTTTTGACCATTGCCATTATCAAAGATATTTAAAAATTTTAAAAATCGTTTTTTTTTTTTAAATTCGCCAAGAATTCTTTGTTTTTTAGTCGATAGAGTTTTTAAGAGACCGAAAAACATGTTTCGCTATTTAATCTCTCTTATGCTCTTACTCGCACAGAAAAATGGCAAACTTTACCGGGGTTCGAACTGCGCTTCCACGACCAGTGTCTCTGCTCTAAACCGATATATCCACTCTTGCTCAAAAACTTTCAAAAATTATTATTCTGCGCTTTTGAATGAGAAATAAAAAGCCCCCAAACTTAAAATAGCTTTTATTCTATAATAAATTACATAACAGTATATTCAGGAGTGCCCCAGTTGACTTAAACGTTATAAAATTTCATAAATAACAACGAAACTGAATTAAGGAAAGTTGTTACCATCTAATCTGTACAATCGATATTTACATGAAAAATTTAACATAAGTACCCTTTCAACAAGATCAACTCGCTCCCAGTCGGTATCCCCGACCAAATCACAGAATCCAACCATATGTCTAGCCTCGTCAAAGTCGCTAAAACTCACTCCGCCATACACTTAAAACTCCCTAGATCACAATTCCTAAAATTATCACCTATCATAATTATTCTCCTCTTCTTGGTCGGTGGGCCTCGGCTGATTCTGCTTCCTCTCCTCGCAATCCATCCCGTGCAGAATCTCATGACACAATGGACACCGATCCTGGACATACAACCACTTCCTCAGACACACCCCATGGAAGAAGTGCTTGCATCGAGTGATCTTCGCCGACCGCATCTCCTGGTAACAAATGGCACAAACGTCGTCCAATCGCCTCAACTGCTCCTCCTCAGCCTCGGGCAAACTCTCGATTTTATTAACAGCAGTTCTGCGTTTCATAAACACCGACCATCCAGCTTTGGCATCACACCAAATATTGAAGTAGGCGTGGATGCACATCATGACAGCGCGAATCGCACTGCCACTCTCAAAGAGGAGGATCCAGGCGCCGTTGAAAAACAAGAAAATGCCGAAACAGAACTCGACAGTGTTGCCGAAGGCCCGGATATAGTATATATAGTCGTCGAGTTTCTCCCAGAAGGTTTCCCTTCGGGCATCCAACAGGAATAGAGAGTAGATTGCCAAAGAGACAAAAACTTTGACTATCACTTCTACACTGAAGGCTGAGACTGCTAAGAGCCACGTGGAGGTGTCCTGAGTCGACCATAGATAGTACATGAGGAGCAATGGGAGTACCACTAGCACCAAACAGACTAGCAAAGCGTGCAAGTGGCGCCTCAGTGATGGATTGTGCGAAGCACTCAAACTCATCAAAAGGGGATTCACCACATTGTGCACAAAATGCAAGATTGCTGTGAACAGCAAGCAGAAATTCCGGCACAACCGGACGAACCTTATTTCCGGTTCGAGACCGGTTAAACCGGTCTGTAAGGCAAGAATATAGAACACTATCGCCGAAACCGTTCCGAAATTCTTATCGTTTTCGTCGTCGCTCAACAACAACCACTGGAAGAACTTTCCGATGTAGTTGCACACGTAAGACACTATACTCGTGATGCCCAACACTGCGGTTAGGGTGTCACACCCCGTGACTAGTAGATACTTCATCAAGCGGAAATAGGGACTATGCTCGTCCTCCAGGTCCCAATAACCGGAAGCGAAGAAAATTCCGGTGTGTTCGAGGACGCGCAGCATCCAGAAGGTCCGGAGGACTTCCGGAACGTTCAGTCGCGTCCATTCGGTCTCGACTAGAGCCGACATCCCGAAATTCGACACGAAAGTCCTCGCGTGTGTGTATCCATTGTATAGAGTCTGGATTATAGGCACTACTGATGACCAGAGAACGAATTTGACCAAAGCTAGAGGTAAGAGAGCGGAGAATACCGGCATGTGGTTGAGGATTGAAGAAGGCACAGGGAGGACTGAAAGCATACTCGGAGCGAGGAAGGCGAAAGGGAGGATTTTTTGAAGGGTGGAGTAGCGAGGACCGAGATGGATGTTGATGAAGATGAAGGAGAGGAAACATTGAAGGACGTAGTTTTGGAAAATTTGAAGGGTGATGCTTCCGTTTTTTGTCAAATGTTCGATGTTGAGAGAGAGGATGCTGTCGAGGATGCTTGAACCGTTTTGGAAATCCTCGAGGAGGATCGAGACGGATTTGATGGTGCTGGCGTTGCTCCAGTATGAGACGAAGACGACGCCGACGGACATTATGTACATGTAGGCTACCATCAGGTGTTTGATGTTGAGGATGAAGAGGCAAAGGGCTGCGGCACATCCTGGAACAATGAGAACAAATCCAGTTGGGGAGAAAAACTTAACAAAGCTTGGTCTTACAGAAAACTAATAAAAATATAATAAAAATCAAGAAGAACAAATCGACTCTCCCAATGAAAACTATAGTAACTCAAAAATTACAGTCTTGAGAAAAATTGCAATAAATCTTTGATTGTTAATAAAAAATCAAGGAACTGTTTAATATTATTGAAAATTGCTGAAGGTCTAAATTTTGATCAACAATTAGTTTTTGTTTTTGCATTTCGGGCCCTACATAAGCCATCGTAACTAAAAACCAATTTTTATGAGTTACTGTTGGGAGAGTCAAAATATACAGTTTCTCCCCACATAGTAAAAACGATTTTGTAAAAGATAAAAAAATTTCGATTTAGATTTTCATTTTTTGGAGTTCAGTCCTGCTTGGTTAAAGACTAATTTCTAACGTAAACAAACAACTTGGATTAAAAAAAACCTATTATTCTGTAGAATAAAGTGCCTGTTATGTGGCAAATACAAGAAAAAGTTAATAAAAAAAGTTGTTTAGAAACAACATTTAGGTCTTTATACCAAATTTCACAATCGACCGATTATAATTTTAGATTTTTTTCCAAGATAGTTGCTTTTTAGTTAAAAGTTACTTACGAGTATTAAAAGTAATAATAAAAACACTGAAAAGAATACATTTTTTTGTTTTGTGAAATAATAAGCATAAAAAAATTAATTTACACTTGACAGATAATTAACGGTGTCAAGAATGAATTGACAATTTTTGTCATTCATTACAGTCATTAGTCGTCAGTTTTACTTCATGTAAATTAGCTTGTCCCGTTTTTTATGAAACCAATTGTACATGTTTTTTTTTCTATTTAATAACAACAAATTTTGGATAAAATTTGTGAGTAAAATAAGCGAAAATTTAGACATTCTTCAATGTTGCCAATTTAATTTTAATGTCACAAACCAATGACCTTACAAAAACAAAAATTTGTATTAATTTTTGCAATTATTATTATTATAAATTATAATATTATAAATATTATTCAACCACATAATTATGTTGAAGAATTTCATGTGATATTGTAAAACACACTACGTAATATGTAATATGACATTCATTTTGTATACAGGTTGAGTCAATAATGCAGCTTGAACTGCTATTATTCAAAAATATTGGGTAGTACGAATAAAATGTAGAAAAAACTTTTATTATAATTTTCTCTTTCTTTCTGATAAAATCTATATTACGTCTATCTTTTACTATTAAAGTAGAGCATTTAAGCAATTACTTAACTTGATTTTGCAATTATTGAATATATTAAAATTATTTTCAATTATACAGAGTGTTTCACTATTCCATAACCAGATTCAATTTTTTTAGCAGTTTTTCCTACTAAAATAATATTATAACACAGTAAAAAATCTATTTTTTTATTCTTTAGTTTATGATAAAAAAGTAAAATTTTGCATTTCGGTATAGAAAGCCTTGTAAAATTTGTTTAACGGTTTTAGGTAGTTTGTAATATTTTTTTTTCAAATTGTGCAATTTTCGAAGAAAAATACATTACCAGGTGAACAGAAAGTACCAAATCAAAGGTTTTTTGCTTAAAGTATTTATTTTTAAGAAAACCAATTAAAGAATAATAAAATACTACAAAAATGTAACGTTTGTCAAGAATATAATTTTTCAAATTTTTTGTTTTGTTTTTGAGTTCTGAAAATTTTTAATTTTTTCAAATGGCAATTCACTATAAAACCTTTTTGTTAATTGTAATTGTAATCCCAAGATTACAACTACATGTCTACATTTTATTCAACTTTTATCGAAAAAATATCTTCATATAAAGTCGAGGTAAATTTATAGTGGCCATTTAATTTATTGCAAAGTTGGCAGCCCCTAACCCATCTCTACTGTGTGAATAGTGTCAATGTTGGCAGCAGAAGTAACTAAATTGCGTCAACAATTCTGACACGCGCAATAGATTTAATATGTGAAGTATTCTAACCCGACTTTTTCAGAATTGTTTTTTGACAGATATGTCCCTAAAAAATCAATTGGATGTTGAAAGACTGATTTACACAACTCATTTTTTCCAAATTTACACAGGGAAGTGACCACTGCGACTTTTCATAACTCAAAAACAAAACAAAATTTCATTCTCAAAACACGATCACTTTAATTTTTGTTAATAATTATTTTCTGAATAATAAATAAAAAACGCTTGGTTCCATTATTATATCCAAATTATCACTAACAGAAAGAAAAAAAAAAACGAATGTAGCTCGACAAGATAGGGTAATAAAACAAGTATTAAAAAAATTATAAATAGTATGATAAATAATGATAAAAATAAGAAAATTAAATATTCAAAAATTTAAAACAACAAATGTAATAAATAAAAAGTAATATAGCTGAATTTAAAGAATGCTTTAGTTTTACACAATGCTGTCTATCTGGAAGTGTTAACTCGTTTCGAGGCTTAATACTGCATCTTCAGGGCAGAAACATTTACGGTCTCAAACAATCACATCAAAAGCGCAATTCATTGTTACTCTCATTATTTTATCTCATATCTAATTACAATCAAAACAAACCACGACCTTGGACCATCTTACATGCAAAAAATGTTGAAAATTGAGTCAATTTTTTTCCTTCCTCGTCACCACCATTTAGTAATCATTTATCACCCGGTGACAACAATGAGATCATTCCCGTATCATTAACATAAAAAATAAAAAATACGGAAATAAGTTGAACGTCCTGAGACAAAAATGGTCAAAAGGGTCACTGATAATTCCACTCATAAATATTATAGGTAGGAAAAAAAGTGACATGTGTAGCCCCAAGGACAGTGCAATTACGTGTTCCCTTGTCAATTTTTTATCACAATTATCGACTTTCGCCCCAAGTTGGTTGTGGTTAAAAATGCACATGAAAGATGAGTTCACAAATTGTTAAAAGCATGAATCAGCACAATAACAACTAATGATAAGTTTAAACGGTAATGAAAACCGACCCAACAATTCCCAAATTCCTTCTGATGGTTTGTTTTCACCTTATCTTATGTAAATGAGCCAAGTGGACTCTTGGAACAGCAGATTGGCCTCTGCGCCCTCAAGATACTAACCTATCGTGCTCAGCAGCAGTCTGAAGACCGACACCAGAATGAATTTGTACAAAACTGGATCGTAGGCGATTGTTGTCGAATTGCTGTGAAGCGTTTCTTCGAATTTATCGTATCTTTCTTGAAAATTCGACAGATCATGTTCGGAGAGCTCCTCCAGACCGATTCCAAATTTCAGGATTTCGTCGATTACGAACAACGGTGGCACCCTTAACACTACTTCCACTAAGCCTAGGACTCTTGAACGGAACGACATTTCATTGCAAGAAATCGCTGCAAAATTCACTGCAACTTTATTTACTTTTTATTGGGAAACTTGGTGACAAGTGTCACTTGGTTGACTTTATACTTTCATTTGCCGGCAATACAGACACCTGTAACGAAAAACACAAAATACGCACAAAACACACACAATTATCGTCAAAAAGTGGAAACCACGTCATTAATGATAATAAATAATAATTTGGAAAAATTATAGAGGAGATAAATAAAACAGAACACTCTTACGGTTTTTTTATTAATAATTGCCGGTAATACAAATACCTGTACTTTAATTTAAAAAATTACAAAAAATACTAAAATATGCCCAACTTAGATTAAATTATTATTAAAAATTAAAAACCACAACAACAATAATGCTACATAATTATTTGAAATTACTCTAGAAAGGTCAAATTAAACAGAACACTTTTGTGGTTCTTAGTCGGTAAAGCCGGTTGTGCTACCGGCTAAGTGAGAGCGCGCGAATCTTAAAAATCAAATTTTGGTGGAAAAATTAAACCCGAAATCGAGCTTTTATTACAGTATTGCCGTTAATAGGTTTAGTAAAATTTTACTTTATTTTAAAAAATAAAGTAAACTTTTGTAAAAATTCCACAATCTGGTAATTTTCTGAAAATAAAAAAAACTGTTGAAACTGTGATTATAACAAAAACTTGATTACTGATGCAGTAAATTAAATATTTTTTTGTATTACTTGTTTTTGAAACCAAAATTTGATTATTTCTTAAAAATTAATCAAAAAACCAACAAATTTTTCAGCTAGAAACACAATTATTTTGCAAATTTCGTTATAAACAAGCTAAAAAGTTTATAAAACATACCAAAAATTGTGTTATTTTTCCCCTTCTCAGGGTTTGTGCACGTTTTTGCGATGAAAATGTTCAAAAAATTACAAAATTAAATCAAAATTAATACTCCTATTATTTTTTTAAGTTGTTTTGCTCGATTTAGTAGTAACCATATTTTTTTGAAAAAGACTCAAAAATAAATTGAATATGAATAAAAAATTTGATTGAATTTAAAAATAACAAAGCAATAGAAACACTGTTGCTACTAAGAGAAAGATGATTTTTATTTGGTCACAGAATTTATTTATTTTCTTATCAAAAATATGGTTTTAAATGACAAAAATTTAAATTAAAAAGTTAAATAAATAATTTCGTTTTAATTGCCATAAACCGGATTCTAACTCTCAAAACTTATGCAACTACAAATACAAGCGTGTGTGTTTGTATGCCAACTATTACCAACCTTAACAAATTGCAATGAAGCGCGCAAATTTAAATCTGGAAATTTCAAACGTGAATATCTCGAAAAGTGTGCGTCGCACGTAAAAAAAAACTATGTCAAAAAATTGCACAAAAAAGTTCTATCGAATGGTTTGGTCAAATTTGATTTTGGCAATAGTCATTTTTCTATCTCGCTTAGAAAAAACAGAATACCTACCTCATTTTATATTTTTAAAATCTATGCATTTAGCTGAGATGTATGAGGGGTCACACGATAGGGTTATCTTCACTTTAAGAAATCGACCCCTAAAATGTTTTTTATACAATGCAACTTGTTTTACGTCATATAGTAGAGTTATAAATGAAGGAAAAAATTTCAAAATTTGATACTTTTTGGTCGACTAAAAACCCAGATTTTGAATTAATTTATGTCGGACAAATTTTTTTGTAGGGTTGACTGTTCATCATTTGACTGCGATTAAAAACTACCAGTAAGTGTTAATTTTGATTCTAAATGAAACTGTAAGGGTCCCAAAGCTCGATCGTTGTGAATTAAAAAAAATAAAATAAAAAATTATTGGGGGTTTATCTAATATGACCCTGAACAAAAACACGATTAGCCCGTCACACCAAACTTTTATTTTAATAGCACAACGCGTTTCGACCACAAAGTGGTCATCCTCAGGTGAGAATAAAACTAACTAATTTAACAATGGTAATGCCTTATATACTAATTTTCCGACTTTCACTTTCCCTACCCTCAACTAACGAGTAGAGGGGAGAAAAGGGAATGGGGCCGTTGTCTGAATTCATGAGATTATCTCTATTTTTAAATATTTC